ACTGCCTGACTTACCCAGTTTTTGAGGGAACAGGGAGTTGGGCTTTTGGCTACATCCAGTGGTATGTATTTAAGGCTTACTCCTGGTAATACTCAGGGGACCATTTGTGGAACTGGGGTTGGCCACATGAGACAGTGTATTATCTCTCCAGTTTCACTATCCCAGTGTTAAACTAATTAGAAAGAGAACTTAGAAACAGGGCAGGACTTAATAATAAAATAATTTATTTTATTCAATACATTGGAAAGGTTGTTAGCTTACATTGAGTCTGTGCATGTTTATTGACAGTTTCAGGAAACTTGGACCTTTTCCCCAAATTCCTCAAATCTCCATCTTTATTTTCAATAGTCTCATTATTTGTGGAAAAAAAGTGCCAGGGTTTAGTGAACAAAATTGAGAATCTACCCCATAATTGATGAAAGATATGTTATAATGTTACAGCTTCTCCCTTCTTACAAGGGTCTGGGTTAGCAGAATCTGAATTGCCCCAATAACAGGGCATATATAAATATATATATTATGTGTATATATGGGCTGGAGCGATAGCACAGCGGTAGGGCATTTGCCTTACAAGCGGCCAACATGGCCGACCCGAGTTTGATTCCTCCGCCCCCTCGGAGAGCCTGGCAAGCTACCCGTGACGTATTCGATATGCCAAACACAGTAACAACAAGTCTAATGATGGAGACATTACTGGGCCCGCTCGAGCAAATCGATGAACAACGGGAGGACCGTGTGAGAATGTGTATATATGTAGATGTAGATATACAGGTATAGACATGTGACATATATAACATGGTCACTGTCCTCTCGTTGTTTACCGATTTGCTCAAGCGGGCCCAGTAACATTGTGAGACTTGTCACTGTGTTTGGCATATCGAATACGTCACAGTGAGCTTGCCAGGCTTTGCCGTGCGGGCAAGATACTCTCAGTAGCTTGCCAGGCTCTTCGAGAGGGGCAGAGGAATCAATCCTGGCTTGGCCAGGCCAGCTACACGCAAGGGAAACACCCTATCACTGTGCTATAGCTCCAACCCATATCCATATATACTTTTCAAAAATTTTAGTTTTAGGAGTTGCTCCCAGGGTACCCAACAGTGCCAGGGCCAGGGCCTGAAGCATGTGCTTACCCCATCGAGCTCTCTCTGGTTGGTTTCTAAATCTTTAGATAATACAAAACTGCAAGAAAACCCACGAGTTCTTGATATACAAGCCTCCTGGCATTTGATTTCTCCTTCACGGTGATATCACTAAGGCATTTCTCAGCTATCGTGTAGTTATTGGAGTCACTTCATCATAGTAATATTTTTATGCTGACAAAAGAAAAGCAATTTAAATAGTTTGAATATAATGTGGTCTTTAATTTGGAATTACCGCATTTAGAATCCTCTTACTTAGAGGTGAAATTTAGGTAATAATGAGAGCTCTCAGAGCCTTGGGTTTATCTGGCTGAAAAATGTTTTTCAAAGATGTCACAAGGACTAACTAGATAACATTCATCACCTTCTAAATAAAAAAATAATAATTGCTAATTTTTGACTTCTCACAATTTCAAAAAAAAATTGTTTTGTACCAAATTGAATCCATAAGTTGTAATTCAACAAAGTCTGAAGACCAAAATAACTATCGTAGAGAATTTTTTTAATGTTTCTTTTTTGGTACCTTGAAAATTCTTTGTCATCATTATAAAGCCACCCCATCTTTTTCTCTTTTCCTCCTGTGCCAATTGATTTCTCTCTCTTTTATTTTGATATCTCATTATTTTATTATATATATTTAATCAAGGCATCTTGATTTACAGAGTAATCTACGAAGTGTTACAGTGTGTTCAGGGAGCCCCCAAAGTCACACCCAGAGGTTCTGGGGGTGGGGTTCTCCTCTGCAGAAGTCAGAACTCAGGACCTCACATGTGCTGTCCATGAGCTCTATCATTTGAGCTATCTCCCTGCTCTATAGATTCCTCTTTTTAAATGGGCAGTTGACACCTATCACTCAACTGATAGGTGTACCTGCTGATTATGTAAAATTAGAAACGCAGTATTTGACTAAACAAGCTCACAGCGGTTTCAGGAAGACAGACAAGAAAATAGTTTAAAGGCAGGATTATGATGCTCTTTGTGAAGGTGAGCAGTGAAAGGTGTGCCCAGGGCTCTTACAATGAGGGCTTTGTGAGGCAGAGGAGGTGAGGCCTGGTGCCGGAACGTGGGAAAGCGGGTGTGACTTGGGGGGGGGAAGGACACCGCAGAGTTGAGAACTGACCAGAATCTATTTCCCAGCTTTGCCAACAACCACTCAGTATTTTCAGAATATTTGAAGCCTCAAACTTAAAATAGGAGAACGTGACACTTTGACAAAATGTGATGGCTGGAAATACTAGTTTTCTCTTACAGAGAACAAGGAACATCATTCAGTGATACATCAGTTTCTTGGGGTGGTGCCAGTTTTGGCCCCAACTTAATTTGTTTTGGACTTCAAGAGTCTACATTGCTCCTCCTTTCCACTTTCCCCCTTTATTCAGTCTAAGTGCACTTCCTCCAGAATTCCATAAACATTATTAAAATGTTGGGGCCAGAGAGAATACAGCAAATAAGATGCTTGCCTTGTACACAGACAACCCAGGATCCATCCCAGATACCACACATGATCCCCTGAGCCCTACCAGAAGTGATCCCTGAGCACAAAGCTAGAAATAATCCCTGAGCACGGCTCAGTGCAGTCCCAAAAACCAAACACACACTCTCTCTCTCTCTCTCTCTCTCTCTCTCTCTCTCTCTCTCTCTCTCTCACACACACACACACACACACACACTCTAAATTATTTAACAGTCAATAGTGGGCATCTCTTCCTGAGACATATAATTTATTTGATAGCAACTTTGAATTGAGTTCCTATATTCTCCAGGTGTTGGTTCACCCAACGCTCTCCTCTGACAAATAGAACCAACTGACTGTCTTAAAGCATAGGTGCCAAAGTAGGGAGGGGAAGAAAGAAGTCTCCAGAACTCAAAGTATACTAGTTCATGGGCTCTTAATGGCAAAAAAATATACTGGAAATATCACTGTCTGTAGCACTGTCCTCCTGTTGATCATGGATTTGCTCGAGTGGGCACCAGTAACGTCTTCACTGTGAGATTTGTTGTTACTGTTTTTGGCATATAAAATACGCCACGGGGAGCTTGCCAGGCTCTGCCTTGCGGACGGGATACTCTCAGTAGCTTGCCGGGCTCTCCGAGAGGGACAGAGGAATCGAACTCGGGTCGGCCACGTGCAAGGCAAACGCCCTACCCACTGTGCTATCACTCCATGCTGGAAATATCATAGCAGCTCTTAAATATTATTACGTAGACATGCAGAGGATTTTAAAACCATGATTCTTTACTTTCAGACCTGCAAATTATACAGTTGTGTCAAGTTAAAATATTCAATCTTATTAAGCTCATAAGGGCCTGGCAAGCTCCCCGTGACATATTCGATATGCCAAACACAGTAACAACAAAGTCTCCAATGGAGATGTTACTGGGCCCGCTCGAGCAAATCGATGATCAACGGGAGGGCCTTTACTTTACTTTACTTTTATTAAGCTCATATACCATCTAATTGATATGAAAAGTCTTTATGATACCAAATTCACATTACATTTCATGGGCCAAGTGTATTACCCAGGAACAATCTACAGAACTTTTGTCAAGATGCCTTAAGAATTAATATTTAATGAAAAAAATTATCATCCTATGTCAGTAATAAATTTATAAAGTTTTATTTTTATATCATTTGATAAAGCTGGTTTCATTGGTAAATGCACCAAAACTCTTGCAGAATTTTGTGGGGGAAAATTATCTTTTTTTTTTATAATTAAAAGTAATGATTTTTACATAATACAGTATCACAATTTCTATCATCCACAGGAACTAGAATTCCCATCCTTTAATGTTAGTGCACTAGATAGTCTTTGAAATTTCTCATCTATTTCAAGAGCAATTTACACTTTCTACCAATCCTCATTTAACGGGGGATTCAAGTTTGGAAAATTATCTTTTTAAAAAGGAATAACAGGGGCTGGAGCAATAGCACAGTGTGTAGGGCATTTTGCCTTGCGCACAGCCAACCCAGGTTCAGTTCCCAGCATCCCATATTGTCCCCCGACCACTGCCAGAAATAGTTCCTGAAAGCAGAGCCAGGAGTAACCCCTGTGCATTGCCAGGTGTAACCCAAAAAGCAAAAAAATTTAAAAAATAAAATAAAAAAGATGAACAAGGGGGCCGGAGGCATAGTTCTGTAAGTAAGGCACATGCCTTGCATGTAGCTGACCTTGGTTTGGTCTCAGGCATCCCTTGTGGTCTCCTGAGCACTACAAGGAGTAATTCTTGAATGCAGAACCGAAAGTCACCCTTGAGTATCACCAGGTATAACCCCCTCCCCCCAATAAAAAGATGAACAATGAAGTAGCAAGTAAAAGAAATAATGCCTGGGGAAAAGTTCAGGGCAGGGAGGGATAACAGAACAATTGAATTCCTGCCTTGCAGGCACAAGATCAGAACCTCAAATTCCCTTCTCCCTCAACACTCCATCCCACAAGCTAGGTTTGAGCTTAGCCGCTCTGCACTCTGGGATCCACAAATGTGTGCAAGCACCACAGCTAAACAGAGCATCCACTTCTATGCACCACAACCAAGTTTGTGAGACCGATCCACCACCCATCTCTTGCAAACACACCTGTCATCAGCCAACATCGTCAGCAAAGGGAAGGATCGGAGAAAACCCTTACACAAAGTCCAAAGAACAGTAGAGAAATATGAGTTTTTTTCTTCTTTTGAGTATGTTGTCAGTGTTTCAGTACATTGACAGATAACAGTGTTGGTACAGTGCTGGTATAGTAAATTGTTCTTAGACTTTTTGGAACTTGGGCAGTTTGGACTTTCCTGGAATTCATAAAGCATGCCTGAAACATGCCTTTGTGTAGAAGATTTCCTCCTGTAAGATTTTATAATTTGACTTTGCAGAATGGCCTGACCCCACTCCACTTGGCTGCTCAAGAAGACAGAGTGAATGTGGCTGAAGTCCTGGTCAACCAAGGGGCACATGTGGACGCTCAGACAAAGGTAAAAGGAAAGAATGGACCCGAATATTTTTGGAGGTCACCTTTTGTACAGGTGACTCCTTTATGGAACCCAGAGAATTTTATATCAGAAAAGGGGGGAATCTAACATAGGTTCTTTTATACATAGTATTTCAAATATCCCTTATGCAAGGCACACCAGGGTCTCTGTGCTGTCTCAAAATGCTTTTGAGATGCTGGATTCTTCAGCCTCTTTACACCTATCCTGGTAGAACAAACCCATCCTTCAGCTAGAGTGTGAAAGCTTTTATCTTTCTTGGTTTGGGTAACTATAAAGGTCACCTTTAGAAACTTTAGTCAGTGATTTGTGATCTCTTTCAGATATAGTTCACGATAAAGGCTATATTAAGGCTTATTTATTATTCGCCTGCTAAATCCTTATATGTGCTTACTAGACCCCCCGTCTCTCCACCCCTCCATCTGTTTCTCCCCGAAAATAGCTCTTTTTAAAATGAGAAAAATTGCTAATCTCATATAATGGTACAATTTCAAATGCAGGAAAACAAATGATGTTTCTGTCAATCATCCAAGAGCCATATAAATACACATAAATCTTCTTTCTCTAGATATTTCTTTTCTGTGCCTAATTTTGTTCATTATCCTGAGGATGGTGGTGTAACTCAGCAGTAAAGTGATATAACTTGTGTGTGTGTGTGTGTCTGTGTGTGTGTGAGAGAGAGAGAGAGCGAGCGAGAGAGCGCACACCTTTACACTTTATAGCCTTGTAATTACCAATTCAGTACCCTGGGTCTCCTAAGATCTTCAGTGCTAAGAACAAATCCGGCAATGAGACTAACACCAAAGGACAGTAGAGATAAGGGCCAGGAAGATCACACCATGGTTTGGAAGCCGGCCCACATGCTGGGGAAGAAGGCAGTTAGGCCAGAGAGGGGACCACTAAGTAAATGATGATTGCAGGGATCGCCTAGATTGGGAGATTTGTGCTGAAAGTAGACCAAGGACCAAACACAATAACCTCTTAGTATCTGTATTGCAAATCACAATGCCCAAAATTAGAGGGAGTAATAAGAAAGACTGTACCTGTCACAGAGGCAGGGAGTGGGGTAGGGTGGGGGTGATGGGTGGGACACTGGGAATAATAGTGGTGGAAAATGTGCACTGGTGGAGGGATGGGTGCTTGAGCATTGTTCAAATGAAACTCAATCATGCAAGTTTGTAACTGTATCTCATGGCAATCCAATAAAGCTTGTTTAATTTAATAAAAAAAAAAAAGAACAAAGCCTGTAGAGTAGACACCAAAACCAGATTTTCCTTATGCAGGAAGCAGCTTTAGGGCTTATAACTTGGACTCCTGTACATACAGGCTGTCAGTGTGGGTGCGCTGATGGTTCAGCTTGTGGAACAACTTTGGTCAGAATGAGCTCTTTAGGCAGCATTCCTCAACCTTTCTGCCCCTGCAGCAGATCAGCACCATCCCTGCAGACCACTGGCAGCTATCACCAAGGTGATAGATAGACCAGTGGTTTTCAGCCTTCCTACCACTGTGGACTGCTAGTTGAAGACTACTTCCTTAGGACAGCACATCTTAGTGAGGTCTTCTCATCTTCTACCATCAGGTATGGGCTGGGCATTACCCACTTTCCAGAATCAAACTTAGCCAATTTCAGCGTCTTACACAGTTTGAGCTGCTCTTACAAGAATAGGTGGAAAACCCATTGTTGCATAAGTTTTGAAGGTCAAGGTGCTGGCAAACCTGGTACATAATCACTGTCTCGCCTTGGTGTGCAGAGAGCTGTCTTCTCATTGTATCTTCACATAAAGGAAAACCCAGACTTTAGGTGAACTCTCACCTGTCTCAAATAGGAGCACAATTTCTATTCATGGGGAGCTCTGCCTGCCCAATATGATTTTTTTTTATCTCCCCAAAGTCCCTTCTTTGAATCATCACACTGGGCTTTAAGATTTTAGCATATGCATTAGCAAGAACCCAAACTTAGCCTTAAAAACAAAATGATCATGAAGACACATTTGTGCTATCACATAACAGAGACAAGCCATTGAAAACAGAATGCCACTCCATCTTCCATGCCCATTGGAAATGTTACAAAAAGCCTGGTCTTTCCCTTTCAGTGGCCTAGTCTACCTACATTTATCATAAACAGAGACCTAAACGTCATTAAAATTCGGTGATGGGGTTTGTTACAATGTAGTCCCCTAGAAGAGCATTTGAAATATTCTTATTTTTATTTTTTTTAATTTTTTTATTTTTAAAAATAACTTTGAAGAAAGAATATACGCAACACATATGCACTCACTTGACATTTTAATCAAGTCTAAGAAATTTGAACTTTAAGAGAGAACTGTATAGTAGAAGCAGATTCTTGAATAATGACTTAAAAGCAGTAAGGATATTTTTCCATTGATCTTTTAACAACTTGGGAAGAGCATTGTTCAAGAAGCTGTTGTATGTCAAATACAGTTTTGTTTGAGGACCACACCCAACTGTGCTTAGGGATTACCTTTTTTCTTTTTTAATTTTATTTATTTATTGAATCACTGTGGGAAAAGTTACAAAGCTTTCAAGTTTAGGTCTCGGTCATGCAAATATCAATCACATTTCCCTTTACCAATACTTATTTTTCACCATGAAGAACCCCAATAACCCCCCCCGCCAATGCCTGTGGGGCAGATGAATTCTAGTTAACACTCTATCTACTTTGACTAGCTTCATTGTTTCGATAAAAGTTGCACCATGGGGCTGGAGCGATAGCACAGTGGGTAGGGCGTTTGCCTTGCACGCAGCCAATGTGACCGACACAGGTTCGATACCCAGCACCCCATATGGTCCCCTGAGCACCGCCAGGAGCAATTCCTGAGTGCATGAGCCAGGAGTAACCCCTGAGCATCGCCAGGTGTGACCCAAAAAGCAAAAAAAAAAAAAAGTTGCACCATTATTATTTAGAGTTTACCCCCCCAAAATCAGCCATGCCGAAAAAGCATTGTGAAATGATTTGCTTTCTACAGCTGGGTTCAAGAATTAAATGATGTCGTGCGGTTTTAGATTTCTGCTATTTTACTTATTAACCCTGGAAGTATTTCTACTGAGAGTCAGAAAATTAAGAGATTGGTTTCTGTGCTCTGGAGTCATGGCCGCCATCTTTCTTTCCAGAGAGGAGAGGGCAAATATAGCAACACCCTTTCCCCTCCAGGCAGGCATGATGGCCTGGATTAACGCATCGTCCGTTCGCTTTTCTGCTCCAAGCTGCTGGTTTTCTGCATTAAGTCCTTGTGCTTCTGGGGCCGTGGCCGTGCCGGAGAGCCGCTCGTGGGGGTCAATTGGTGACCTCGGGAGGGCGTGAAGGATGGGCCGGAACGCCCCCCATCTTAGGGATTACCTTTGACTCTGCACTCAGGGATCACTCCTCATGGGTGCCAGAGATTGAACCTGGGTTTACTATACATGTGACAAGTTCCTTACCCATTGTATTATCTCTGTGGCCCTGAAATATAGATTTTTATGATAGAACTTAAATGCCCTCAAGTATTATGGCTATTGATTTGAAGAAATAGCCTTTGCTGTATATAGGTCAAACTGGAATTCTTATTATGTTAGCAAGATACTTTATTATTATTATTATTATTTTTAATATTGAAAGCTTTACTTTTTTTTCCTATCTGGATGCTTAGTATCTTTTTCTTGCCTAAATGCTATGGCAAGTGCTAAGTTCTTACAATCTATATTTAATAAAAGAGGTGAGAGCAGGCAACCTTGTCTTGTACCTGATCTTAGAGGGAAGTCTTGGTTTCTACCCATTGAGTATAATGTTTGCTATAAACTTCAGTAGATGAGTATGTTGAGAAAAGTTTCTTTAATTCCCCTTTTATTGAGAGTTTTATCATGAATGGTTGCTGGATCTTGTCAAATGCTTTTTCTGCATCTATTAATATTATCCTGAGTCATATTTTTATTATATTGATATGTGTATAACATTGATTGCTTGTATGTGTTACTTGCATCTCCAGGATGAACTCGACTTGGTCATGGTGTATTATATTTTTGATGTGCTGTTTTATTTGATTTTGTTGAGGATTTTGTATCTATGTTCATCAAGGATATTGGTGTATAGTTTTCCTTTTCTATAGCAGGATACTTTATTTTTTATTTTTAATTTTATTTTTATAAAGTTGCTCACAATAACTTATTACTTTTAATATTCCAACACCAATCCCACCACCATATTTCAAGTGCTTCCACCCTGACCCCCAAAGCCGGCCTCCAAAGCAGTACTTAAATAATTTATTCTGTATTGCTTGTTATAAATAATCCACTAAAAATGATCCAAATAATTTTCCTTAAAAGTATGTGAAGATTGTTGTATTTCACTCTGGGGCCATTAAGTCCCTGTATAAGAGATTACTAACATGTTAAAAGTTGAGTCTTGTGTACTAGTATATGTGTGTGTGTGTGTGTGTCTACCTATCTGTGTGTGTGTGTGTGTATATATATTCCCCCCGAAGATTGGTTACCTTATACCCCATCAAATGTGGTGTACTACTCTTGGTGTGCTACCATCAGTGGTGTAGAGTATGAAATGTTGCTCTAGGAATTCTAAAAATTTAAATACGATAAATGTAGCTGAGAGGGCTGGAGCGATAGCACAGCGGGTAGGGCGTTCGCCTTACAAGTGGCCAACATGGCCAACTCGAGTTCGATTCCTCCGCCCCTCTCGGAGAGCCCGGCAAGCTACCGAGAGTATTCGATATGCCAGACACAGTAACAACAAAGTCTCCAATGGAGACGTTACTGGGCCCGCTCGAGCAAATCGACGATCAACGGGAGGGCCTTATTAAAAAAAAAATGTAGCTGAGATTAATTTTTTTAACTGGATAGCAAATTTGGGGTCCGGAGGCATCTCTATGGCATGTTGTTCTCATATTAGCAGGAGACTAACTAGAGCATATATACCTAAATTTATTTAATACTTTTCAGAATTTCTGAATTCACATCAGCTTCAACTTGAAAATTTCGGTGCTTCTTATCTCTGCTGTATATTCTGATCATCATCTATTGCCTTGCATTTTCTTTATGAACTTCTTCACTGTCACTGTCCTCCCATTGTTCATCGATTTGCTCAAGCAGGCCCAGTATCGTCTCCATTGTGACAATTGTAACTGTGTTTGGCATATTGAATAAGTCACAGGTAGCTTGCCAGGCGTTGCCATGCGAGCGAGATCTCTCGATAGCTTGCCGGGCTCTCCAAGAGGGGCAGAGGAATCGAACTCGGGTCAGCCATGTCGGCTGCTTACAAGGCAAACGCCCTGCCCACTGTGCTATCGCTCTAGCCCATGAAGTTCTTATTTTAATTATTTTTATTTTAATTTTTAAAATAAATCATTTCAAATTATTTATTTTAATTTTATGAACTTTAATTTTACATCTTTAGAAAATGGAATGTTCATCAAATTTTAGCTTCAAACTGTTCATAGAACAGCTTTTCTTTTTTTCTTTTTTTTGTTTGTTTTTGTTTTGGGGCGACACCCAGTGATTCTTGGGGCTTATTCCTGGCTGTGCACTCAAGGATTACTCCTCGTGGGCTCAGGGAACCATATGGGATGCCAAGAATCAAACCCAGGCCAGCTGTATGAAAAACAATTGCCCTACTTGCTGTACTATTTCTCTGTCCCCATAGAACAGCTCTTTTGATGCACTTGACAAGGAACCGTTCAGGGACTGGAGAGGAGTGGATACTGACTGTGCATGTAATGACCCCATGTCTAATCCTGGCATCAAATATGGTTACCCAGTACCACCAGTGGTCATTCTTGAGCAGAGTCAGGTGTAGCCCTTAAGCACTGCTAGGTATGGTACCAAAACAAAAACAAGAAAAAAAAAAAGAAGGCACTCAATCTCTCTAGGCTATAGGTTACCTATTGTTTCATCTTTCCTTTTGATTTTCAAAAGTTATGAGAATAAGTTATGTAACTATTTACATAGGAGGCGATATTATTACTTATCCCTAAGACTGTGAATTATCAAGGGCATTTTCTTGTCACTATTGTTGTCTTTGGAAGAGATTATTCTCCCTCCACAAGAGAAAAAACTATACTTTTGCTTCTGTTTAGAAAAACTGTTACCAATAGTATATTTATATTTCTCTTTAATTCCAGATGGGGTACACACCACTACATGTGGGCTGCCATTATGGAAATATCAAGATTGTTAATTTCCTGCTTCGGCATTCTGCAAAAGTGAATGCCAAAACGAAGGTAAATTCCTTTCTCCTTTGCATCCATCAGAATAATTTATTTTGTGTCCAAGGAACTAAGACTCAATCTTCTCTCTTCCATCTGCAGAATGGGTATACACCATTGCACCAAGCAGCCCAACAGGGACACACACATATTATCAACGTTTTGCTTCAGAACAATGCCTCCCCCAATGAACTCACTGTGGTAAGACCTAAGGGCCAGTTAGGGGGGCAGGAGATGAGCACTCTGTCATTATACTGAGAGCTGTCCACAGAGTGTGATGAAGGCTGATGTTTCACACCTTAAAAATTACTGCTTATAGGCAAGGTGGGATGGGGGGATGGGGGGTGTGAGGGATACTGGGATCCGTGGTGGTGGGAAATGGGCACTGATGGAGGGATGGGTATTTGATCATTGTATAATTGAAACCCAAGCACAAAATTTGTAAGGCTACAACTGTACCTCATGGTGTCTCACTAATAAAAATTTAAAAAAAAAATTACTGGTTATGGTCTGGAGCGATAGTACAGCCAGTAGGGTGTTTGCTTGCACGCAGCCGAACCAGGTTCGATTCCCAGCATCTCATATGGTTCCCTGAGCACTACCAGTAGTAATTCCTGAGTACAAAGCCAGGAGTAACCCCTGTGCATTGCCAGGTGTGACCCAAAAAGAAAAAAAATATTAGTGGTTACATTGTTATTTAGTAGGAAGTACATAAATAAGAAGAAAGACTTTTTTGTTTCCTTGACCACTTAGAACAGTAAAATGTGTCTTGGGTTCTGTTCAGAAGCGGCTCTGTCTGCTGCGTGAGCAGGAACAGGTTTGGTGGCTTTGGGCAAGGTTACAAGGTTTGTCCTGAGGAAACAGCTTTGTTTGTGACAGTGGAATGGAACAGCGAGGAATCTCATCTCAGTGTTTTTTCTGCCTAAAATGTATGGATACACACAGATACTGAAACGTGTGGCACATGTTAATGACTTGTTGGCTTTCTCTCCTGCCAGAATGGGAACACAGCCCTGGCCATTGCCCGGCGGCTGGGCTACATCTCAGTAGTCGACACCCTGAAGGTCGTGACGGAAGAGATCATGACCACAACTGTAAGTAGCCGCTGTAGGACTCTACTAGCCCCGTATCCATTCTTGCACATTTTCCAGGGCTTTTCAAAGAGGAACCTGCATTCACAGAAGAAGCACTTGGTTTTCAAAGTCTGTTGCCTTACTGCCAGTATGCAGCATAGCAAAACACTCATTTCTGAAATTATAAAAATTCAGAACACTGAAAATATCTGCACAAGTAGTTACAGAGTTTCAAGTTCCATATACAACTTATTTCATTTGTTGGAATGAAATATTTATGACATGAAGATAGGAATGTTTTCATATCATTGGCTTTTGCAGTGTAAGAAAGTTTGAAAATTCTACGTTCGTTCCCTTCATGATTTTTGGGTTTGGGGTCACACCCAGCAAGGTTCAGGGGATACTCCTATCTCAATGCTGGGATGATTCTGGTAGTATTCAGGGATTCATGGTGCCAAAGATTACACTCAGAGCTCCAAGATTCAAAGCATGCATTCAAACCCTTTGAGTTATTCTGCCTTCCTTTCCCTAAAACGACATCTGGCACCTTTGAACTCATCAGGATTTGATGTCTTTGGAATGAAGAACAGATACTGCACCATATCAGACTTATTTAAATTATTCTTGACTTCATGATTTACTACTGAGGCAAGACAGACTCTGTACCTTGTGAATTTAGGATTGAAACATTTTCTCTTCCATCTCTTTCTATCATGAGGGAATGCAGAGTCAGCATGTGCAGAGTGTTTTGTGTAAAAATATGGGTTAAAATCATGAACAGCTTTGTAAGGGTCTGTCTCACAGTGATTCAATAAAAAGTTTAAAAAAAATTTTAAATAAAAACATGGGTTGAGAGAGAGACATTCAGGTATTGTGGCCACCTAATAATTGAGTTAATTGGTTATATAAAAACTTTTGGATACTAAATAATCCTGTGATCACAAGGAAAAGGTTTTGTAACTTGCAAAAGAAAAATAATAGCTTTCATGGACAAAAGCAATATTTATCAACTAGTACACATTTCTAATTTCCAGAAAGGTTGATATTAAATGAAAATTTCCAAATGCCTTTATCTCTTGAGTATTTTTTATCTTAAAATTTATTATTGGAATAGGGAGGTAATTCAGAGGTCTAGAACACATGCTTTGATTGCAGATAGCCCAGCTTAACTTTTTTTTTAATCTACTCTTCAGAAAACCATGTAAAAAAATGATGATGATGATATTTTTTAGCCTTTTGTGGATAACATATGTAAAGAGTCAGAAGGACAAGGCATTAGACAGTGTCTGTGTCACAATGCTAAATAGACTGGAAGTTATTGTGATAAATATTTAAATCTTGGGTTTTAGTGTTAGAAGGAGAAAAGAGAACTTAAATCTGTTTGATCAAATGAAATTATATTCTCACTTATTGGAAATGCCCCAAATGGATTATTTTTAAAGAAAATAAACTTCAAAGCCTTGCATATGACCAACCTAGGCTTGATTCTCAGCATCCCATATGCTCCCTTGAGTTCTCCAGCATTGATCCCTGAGCACAGAGCCAGGAGTAAGTTCCTCTAGGTACTTTGTAAGGGCCTACCCCCCCTTCTCCTCCTCTACAAAAGGAAAAGACTGATGCAATTCCTAATGGAATTTGTGATCTTAAGCTAACTAAACATGGCATATATCGACCACAATGGAGCTTTACATAGTCTGTTTACAGGGGCTTCAGCAGCCATTGTCTCCAGAAGCCAACTTCAGTTTTCCAAAATCTCTGACAAGAACAATGTGTCTTTCATATGAGTACAATGGACATAATGCCCTTAAGTAAAGCATCTTTCTCAGAATTGCCACTACATTTATTGTACTCTTAGGGAAGAAACTAAATGTCTAGAAGCTGCTATTAAAAATGATAAGAAGGAAGCTGTTAAAATTGCATTGTTTAAGTTACTCAGTTCCCTAGAAATAACAGAAAACATCTACCACTTAGTTATTGATTTCTAATAGTGTTCTCTAATAAAGGGAACCAGAGTAGATCTCCTTGGCGATATGACTAAAGCTAGAACTGTGCAGAAAATATGAGCCTAGAATAACTAACATTACCAACGGAGAAAGAGTTTCCCCTTAAAAATAAGCAAATAAACATTCATCAATGACTAGGAAATTCCTAAGAGCCATGGGAATGAACTAAACTAGTTACCAATGACCAAAGTTGCAACAATTTGAGCAATAAACAAAATAGTATTTGATATATAGCGAAAATATAAAATAAATAAAAATAATTATCTGTGAATCCATAGGGAAACAGAAATGTGATTGAATAACCTCAGGCCTAGTGATACCAAGTAATATCTGAAAATATTTTATCCCCCAAAGAGATGAAACATGATTCTCTACAGCTTAAGTATGGGTTTAGTACAATGGCTTCACCCCCAAAGAAAACAGTTAGAGAAAGATGGAGTATAATCACTGACAAACACTGCCTCAGCAAAGTGAGAAAGTCAGTACTAACCCTGATAAGTCACGTTGATTGGATATATCTTCAATAGGTAATAAAATGGCACTCTCCCTCTGTCTTGCTGCCAAGGACATATGAACCCTGTCTAGTCACAAGGAAAACACCAGACCTTTCTCAGCTGAAGGCTTTTCTTAATTAACATACCTAGCCACTACACAACAGAAACTTTCAAAGTCATTGAAAACAAATTGAGAAACTTTCATAATCACAGGAGCCCAAGGAGGCAAGACAACAAAAGATAACCTAGATGGGATCCTGGACTAGAAAAATCACTACGATAGTCTGGGCTGGAGAGTTAGTACAGCAGGCAAGGCACTTGCTTTACATGCAACCGATCCCAGTTCTGTCCCCAACACTGCATATGACCCGCAAGTAGTCACAAAGTGCAGACCCAGGAGTAAGCCCTGAACACTAGTGACCCAGACATTACTTAGGCCTCCCCAAAATAAGTGAGAGTATAAATAACATGCCAAGTATTACAAGAAGTACAGTAAGAAGCCAGGGAGATTAGTGGAATGATAGCATGCACACTTGGCACAGACAAGACCCTGAGTCAAGTCTCTATCCCAAATAGTCAGCAGAGCACCACTGGCTGTGATAACCCCCCAAGGACTGCTGAAGTGATAATTCAATACCAAGGCAGGCATTGAATTATCCAGCCCATGCAGCTGGGCTGAGTGTCACTGGGATGTCCCAAAAAAGACAAGAAAAAAATTATATTGACAATAAGAAAAAAGCAATAGGAGCTGGAGAGATAGTACAATGAATAAGGTGCTAGCCTTGCACATGGCTGTCCCAGGTTCAATCTCCAGCATCCCTTCCGGTCCCCAGCACACTCCAGGAGTAATTCCTGAGTTCAGAGTCAGGAGTGGTAATTGGGCATCACCAGGTTTACACAACAACTGGGAAAAAAATACACACACACACACAGCTCAGGCCATTCAGTTGTTTTATCTAAATGAGCATTAATATTCCCACACCATGAATTGCTCATATTCTCAGAACTAAGGGGGAAAAATAGTATTGTCAATAAAATTGTCTTATGTATTTTTGGCAGAGTGCAGTAACTTTGTACATCAATAGCATAAACATAACCATGTTACCTAAACCTATGGTCTTCAACCACGGCTCCACAATAAAGAGGTAGAAACCCGCTGGTCTGCAGAGTGGTTTACAATTACCAGTTCGTGAACTAATCTGTAGAACAGGTGCTGATCTATGGGTGTGAAACATTGGAGAATGCTGCCCTAAGCCATAGTAATAAGAATAATAAGCAGCTATATTATTATAAATAACTCATAAGTAAATACAGTGTCAATAAATTTTCTTACAAGTATTGCTTTCAGTAACCTGGATGGTTAGAATCCATATACAAAAATATGTTACAAAGAACATGTGAAAGATTAAGTAAGGCTTTGCTCTGTAGCATACTATCATTTAAAATTTGGCAGAGGTTAAAATGATCTTGCAGATGCTTTGTTACTGCTAAAATATTTTCTTCGTACACTTACAAAAATTATATATTCAGCTTCACATTTTTAGAAATTAAAATGTGAACAGGGAGGAGCAGACGAAGTATGTGACTGACTTGGCATTATTTATAAGACTATTATTTGTTGTCTTAATGAGTTCTCTTCAGTCAAGGCTTTGAATGGAGAGGTGGCAGGTTCATCAGCCCATGAATAAGTCTTAGAGTGAAGTAGAAGGAGCCTGTGGGAAGCCTTATTTGAAACTCAGCTATGCTTTGTCACTAGATTTTCTTCTTTTCTTCACGATATATGGTGAGGACAATTTTGATATCATTTTATATGTAAGTCTTAGAATATTCAGTAGCTAAGTCCCACAAGAAAGCAGCTAATGAATTTGGGGAGGAGAAGATACTTGGGAACCGTTTGGTGTCAGGCATAGCCCACCACTTGAGCCACATTCCTGGTCCCTACTGGACAAATTTAGAAAGAAATGCATTTAGAAAGTACTATGTACTCTTACTAAGTGGTTTTTTTGTTACTAGACTGTCACAGAGAAGCACAAAATGAATGTTCCAGAAACGATGAACGAAGTACTTGATATGTCTGATGATGAAGGTAGGAAAATATCTTTTGATATTTTCAAATTAATGTTGAGACTGTGTATGTGTATCCTAAAAAAATTATTGCAAAAAGTGTTTTGTTGTGGTATCTAGAGGATGCATTTTCACACACTTAAACATTGTTCGCTTAAATCATGCAGTGCGTAAAGCCAACGCCCCTGAAATGCTCAGTGATGGCGAATATCTCTCAGATGTTGAAGAAGGTATTTGCCAATTTTTATTATGATGAAACTTAACTATCAGATTTACCTTCCATCCTTTGAATTGTAACAGTTCCTTGAGTTACTAACTTTTCATTTTCCCTTGTAATTATTCATCATTTCAACAATGTGATTTTGGTATTGCTAATTCTTCTTTTGGACTCTCGGAACTCCTACCCACCCTTAAATCCTCTTTCCAGCTTCCTAATGCAAGTGTCACTAATTATTTCTATATGTTTCCTTTATGTGTAAAATTAATGTTTTAATTCCTCACATTTAAAACTCATGAAAGGGAAAAACTGATCAATGTTTATAGCTAAAAGAAATTGTAAGATGTAAGAGAAGGTATCCATTCAGGTAATAGCCAAGTACTCATTTCAAGGATTATTGTCAGCTGTATTGTAAAAAAAAGATTTTAATCTTAAATTTATAATGAAAATTTAACCTAAATAAAATTGCTTTAGTAGATACATCTCAATAGCAGTCTTATGAAAGGTATAAAAGTATAAATGACTTCAGTTGTATTTCAGTGCTTAAAATAAACTATTTGTGTTCCATGTTACTTAAAAATTAATACATTTAGAACTGGAGAGATAGGACAGAGGTAGGACTCTTGCCTTGGATGTACCTGGGCTGGGATCCATCCTTGGCGCCCCATTTGATCCCTCAAACCCTGCTCGGAGTGAATCCTGAATGTAGAGCCAGAAGCAAGCCTGCCAACTGTGACCCCGAAACAAAACCCCCCGAAGAAAATTTGACCCGATCCTAATATATAGATGTGTTGGTAAAAGTTCGAAAGTTCATTGGAAAACTAGCACTTTCACAGTAGATAGGATAAAGATAATCATTCTTAAATTGCCACTGAAAGAAATGTTTCCTTATAGTAAAATAGAAATTTTATATATGCTTCCCTCTGTTATCATTTGAGTTTCCAAAACAACATTGTTTCATTGCTGCCTTCATTTGCTGCCTCTTTGGAAATATCTTTTCTTCTTTGTTTTGTCCTAGCATTGCAGACTCTCCCTGCTCTTAGGTATTCTTACCTGCTTTAATTCTTCAGTCCATCGTTGATTTGTACAAAGTTCAGAGTTGTAGACAGGGAAAGCCTTTCCTGATGCACAATCAGGAACTTTCTCCAGTATCCAATGACTGTCTTCTCTTTGATTGCTTAACAGCTCTGTTAGAAAGCTAATGCCCTGTGGTCATTTAGGGGGCGTGGGAAAACCCTTTCCCTATTTGTAAATGTTGTTTCAGTAAACTTGAAAGGATTTTTACTCTTTCTTTTTTTCTCTCTAAAGCATCAATTATATGTTTAATTTTGTTTATTCCCAAATGGGTAATATTTGTATCATCCTTAGGACTTTAACAGGAAAATGCTTGACTGTCCTATTACATTTCAATCACGATCACGATCACGACCACCCTCTTGTTCGTCGATTGCCTCGAGCAGGTGCCAGTAATGTCTTCTTCATCCTATCCCTGAGATTTTTTTTTTTTAAAGTGCCATATTCAAGGCTTTTTCAGGGTTAGGAGAATGAGACCCATCATTGTTACTGGTATTTGGCATATTGGGTATACCACGGGGAGTTTGCCAGACTCTGCCGTGTGGGCATGTTACATTTGGTAGCCTGCCAGTTTGACCAAATTAGGAATGAGATGATAAGATGTCGCGCGGCCGCGAATGCGGCCGCGCACTTCCGGGAGCTGAGTGTGATGATCTCTGGATCCTGGCCGTTGTTGGAGTTACACGGCAGTTGGTGGGTGTAACTGCCAGTAACTCTGGCAGGTCCAGTTCCAAACTGTGCAGGCTTGGAGATCTCAGTCCCGGGTCCCACACACCTGGGTTCCTCTGTCAGTTCTTTTATGCGTGAGGCTCATCCAAGTGTGTGGAGAGTGCTCCCAGCATGGCCTTGGCTGGGCCTCGATGGTCTTCAGCTGTTGGGCCCTGGTGGAGACAGTCAGGCAGAGGGTAGGAGACTCTGTCTTGTTCTCTCCCAGGAGCTGAGTGTGATGATCTCTGGATCCTGGCCGTTGTTGGAGTTACACGGCAGTTGGTGGGTGTAACTGCCAGTAACTCTGGCAGGTCCAGTCCCAAACTGTGCAGGCTTGGAGATCTCAGCCCCGGGTCCCACACACCTGGGTTCCTCTGTCAGTTCTTTTATGCGTGAGGCTCATCCAAGTGTGTGGAGAGTGCTCCCAGCATGGTCCCATATGGTCCCCCGATCACCACCAGGAATAATTCCTGAGTGCAGAGGCAGGAGTAACCTCTGAGCATCACCAGGTATGACCCAAAAAGCAGAAATAAATAAAGTCCAATACATTTCAATACATCTTATAAAATTTTTTCCAAGAACTTTCCTTTTTTTGGTCGGGAAGGTCACACTTTGCAGTGCTTGGGGCTGTGCCCAGCTTTGTTTTCATGAATCACTCTCTTGGTGCTGAAGGGATTGTGCTGTGCTGGGGGTCAAACCCAGTCCCCCCATATACAAAGCCTGTGCTCTGCCCATTGAACTATCAATTTTGCCCTTAGAGCAATTTCTTCTGTGCAAAAGATAGAAGTAAAATGATGTTCTCATGTACACATGTGTATAGATTAAACAAATGATCCAGAATCATGTTCTCTAAAATGAAATTACTGAGAAATATAATATGACAGCCAGAGACCTAAAATTTGCTGGTTCCTAACAAAATATCTGCCTCGATAAGAGGCCAAGTTTGAGTACATTCTATCGTTACTCTGCCTGTGTGGAATGTTAATACTGTAACTTAAAAGAGAAGGAAAACATGTCACTCTCTTCATTTGAAGATCATCAAAATGTCTAACTAGAAATGACTATTTCCTTTAGATTTTTCTCAGCTTGGGATTGCCGATCAATAAGCAGGTTTTAGTTATCATTTGTATCTTTTCTTAAACTCATTGGTCCTTGAGCTGTTTCTAGATTTTGGTTACTATGAATAATGCTGCAAGGAATATAGGAGTACAAGAATCTTTTCAAATAGTGTTTTGGGCCTTAGGGTCAGTGCCAAGAAGTAGAACTTCTGGTCACCTGGAAGCTTAATTCTCATTTTTGGGGAAGTGTTCAAAACTGTTTTCCACCTCAAAAAATTAGAAATTGAGCTCCCATTTGACCCAGCGATACCACTCCTGGGAATATATCCCAGAGAGGCAAAAACGTGTAGCCGAAGGGACATCTGCACTTGTTTGTTCATTGCAGCACTCTTTACAGTAGCCAGAAACTGGAAGAGACCTGAGTGCCCAAGAACAGATGACTGGTTAAAGAAACTTTGGTACATCTACACAATGGAGTACTATGTGGCTCTTAGAAGAGATGAAATCACGAACTTTACATACAAGTGGTACAATATGGAAAGTATCATGCTAAGCGAAATGAGTCAGAAAGAGAGGGATAGACATAGAAAGATAGCATTCATCTGGGGGATATAAAATAATAAAATATGAGATTAATACCCACAACACCAGGAGAATTACTCCATAACTTAGAGGCCAGCTGGGTATTCTAGGGGAAAGGACAATTCAGATGGAGAGGGGAACGCCAAGTGGAGGGTGTTTGGAGGATCCTCCCAGGAGGGGAGATGCAGGTTGAAAGTAGACTGGACTGAACATGTTCGCCACTCAATGCCTCTTTGGCTGATCACAGCGCCCAGGAGGAGAGAGAGAACAGGGGGGAATGCCCTGCCACAGTGGCAGGGGGGGATGGGGGGATGGGAGGATGGGGGGGAGGGATATTATCCTGGTGGTGGAAAATGGGCACTGGTGGAGGGATGGGTATTTGATCGTGGTATGACCGAGATCCAAGCACAAAATTTGTAAATCTACAACTGTACCTCATGTTGTTTCACTAATAAAAAAGAAAAAAAAAAACAGAAGCAAACTCAGCCATCAACAAAAAAATCAGCCAACAAAAACATCAAGAGACCATGTATTGCAGCAACATCGAAACCAGTTGGTTTGTTTTTTCCTTGCAATCTTCCAGTTGGATTTTTATGGTTTTTTTTTTAAATCTCTGTATATGGTCAAGCTATAGAATATTATTTCATTAAAGTCAAAATATGTTTCCTTACCATGCCAGTCAAACTCAAAAAAAAAAAAAACTGTTTTCCATAGGGACTAAACCAGGAGTATATAGCCATATCCTGCTTGAACTAAGGTGACTAGAACAAAACTAGTCAACATTCCCACCAGCAGTGGATGAAGCAGCTTTTCGGGGCCAATAGCAATAATTATTGCCACCATCACTGATACAGAATGTCAATTTTTCTTAAAGTTTATGTGGTATGACAACATATGACTTTAATGCTAAATTATAAAAATCAAGTAGCACTGTAGCATTTCCCTCCCATTGCTCGTCAATTTACTCCAGCGGACCCAGTAACATCTCCATTGTGAGACTTGTTGTTACTGTGTTTGGCATATCAAATATGTCACGGGTAGCTTGCCAGGCTTTGCTGTGCGGTTGAGATACTAACACTAAATAGGGTTTCACTTTTTCTTCTTTTCTCTTTTCCTTTTTCATGCTTACTACCAGTCTGGCTTCTCTTTCTCTTCTCTGTAAGAATTTGGATTAGGTGAAAGAATGTTTCCATTAACCGCTGATAAAAGATGTGAGGGGTGAAGGGAAAGAAGCCTAGACAATGTTGTTAGGTAAAAACCAGGGAAACAATGAGCATGTAATAGAGTGAGCAAAGGTTGAGTGTCAGCACAGTTAAGCAGTAAAAGAAAAGGACATAAAGTAAGTAGCCTTATCTAAGGAAGGTCTTTAAACCCAGACATTATATTGGTTTGGGATAAACAGAATTCCAAAGAGGGACAGAGTGATTTGCAAATATTTGAATGTTATACTATCATCTTTCTCAGAAAATTTATACATTTAGTATACAAAATGAGTGTGGATTTTTGTTTCCATTAGAGTCCTGAGTTTTGAAATGCGTGTTGTAATTAGAAAAGATGGAAGATAGGAGGAGGTAGGGGTCAAAGAACAGTG